TTTAAATTAAATTTTAAATAAATAAAATAACATAATTTAATATTAAAATTTTAATTTTTTTAAAAATTGAATTTGATATATATTTTTATGTATATATATATAACGAATAAAATTTGAATGAATTTTGCTCAAATAAAGAGAAGAAAAAAATTTTGGAGTTTAAAATATAAAAAAGTAAAACTTGAATTTAGCTTTTTTTTATCTATATGTCAACTTATGTCACGGATTAAAGACCTTCTGTCATATAAAAAAATAAACATATAAAACTCATAAAGACCTTCTCTCACGGATTAAAGAGCCTTAATGTATTATGATATTATAATATTATCCCAATTTACCTATCTCTCTCACTTATGTTTTATTTTATTTATATTATTATTACACTATCATATAATTTAAACTTATTAGAAATTATATTTTAAAATTAAATTTCAATCAGATAATACAAATAAAAATGAACAGGGAAAACGAGATTATGTTTAGATAGGAATCGAAGGTTGTAAACATTTTCGAAAGAGAAATACTGAAGGCAGAAGGGAATGAGGCATCAAAAGGAGAAGCTATGCTGCACTCTGAGCATACTGCTAATGTGGTATTTTTTGACCAATCACAACGTGTTATTTAAAAAAAAAATTTCAATTTCGTTAGTCACACAAGCTCAATTAATGGTAAAATGATTGGTTAAATGCTAAATTTGATCCTTCAACAATTTTTTACACTTTTTTGATCCCTTAACTATAAGAAATGCACTCCGTTAGTCCTTCTGTTAATTTGAGCCGTTAACTTCGCTTATGTAGCATTTTTTATATTTTTTTTGATGATGTGGAGAGTAAAATTTAGAAAAGTGATGACATGGACAAATATTTTGACATATCATGTTACTATGTGCCAAATCCATTTAAATGGGTCCCACATCAATAATAAAGAAATTTGTTTTTTGATGACATGGCACCAAATCTACTCAAATGGGTCCCACATACTAATAAAAAAAAATATCTTTTGATGACATAAAAAATTAAGTGATATTTTTTATATTTTTTTAATAATATAACAAATTAAATTAAATATTTACCCGAATAACAATGTTCTCATCAAATTTTCTTTCTTTAACGGACATTATAGATTGTCGTTAACCAATTTCGGCA